CCCCCTTCATCCCAATCTCGCTCATTCATCTAGAACCGATTGGATTCCTCCAACTTGATTTTTTTGTTCTGCAATGGTGTTCCCATCGTTGCCGTAATTAAGCAAGTACAGTGTTGGCTGCTTGATTGAGTTTCTTTTTCGTGGTGTTGCACATGAATTGGTTGTTCTATGCTAATAATGAAATACAACTAAATCATTTTTGCGTTTCCGTAGCAACGCACAAACATTATGCTAGTATTACTGTTAAAGAGTGTTCTGCTCAAGGACGAACTTTAGACCTCAAAGGCCAAGTGCTTTTATTCGATCATTAATAATTTATAACAGAAATTATATCACTAGAACGCTTCAACAGGAAGTACATACGTCGGAGAATTCAAACAGGTGAGGCAGGAAAGAAAGCAGGAACGTCACATTATTTCGCCTCAAATCAAAGTCTTGGGTAAAAGCTTCCACGGAAACTGTGGCACGCGTCTGGGTTTATTCCTCGACGATGCGAGCAGACTGGCATGGCATCTCAACTTCCTCGTTCATTTAGCCTGCAGCGACGAGTAAATTAAACCAGTGCGCATATTTCAGAAATTCGGCAAATGTACATGTCCGGTGGACACCAGGAGATGAAACATTGATGAGTACCTCAGCTTTCTGCTCGTCGTCATACTTGGGGCGGACTTTGAACTCCACGTTGTTGAGGACCTTGTTTATCAGAATGTCCGCGGAGTCGATACCTGCAATGCAAAGGAAGCGGCAGCGCGCAGTTAGCGGGAAACCACATCTCTCAGATCACACACTGCAGCTCGATCGTGTGGCCGGAAGATGATAAGACTAAGAGACCTGCAAGATAAGCTCCGTGGACGTAGCCGTTGTAGTGCTCGCTGGTGTGCTCCCCGGTGAAGTAGACCCGCCCGCCAACCGGCGCCTGCATGCGACGAGCAGAATCAATCAAGGACGACACGTCGTCAGAGCCGGGGCCGGCGCCATGAATTCTGGGACGCTTAAGTTTCACCATCGGCGCACTGTGTATGCGCGCGCGGCGGTGGCCTACGTACGTACCCGGAGCTGGTCGTACTCGTAGCGGTTGACGCCGACGGGCCAGTTGGAGTAGGAGCCCTTGAAGAATCGGTTGGACCACCAGCGCGGCACGTAGATATCGGTGGCGTCGGGCACGTCGCGGTCGGGGAACATGTTCCGCAGCACGCCCACGGCCTCCGCCATCGTCACGTTGTCGGGCTGCTGCTCGATCCGCCGCGACTCCACGTCCGTCACCGTCACCATCAGCACGTTGGCCCCCGGGTACTCCTGCTCGAACGACTGCACAACAAAACGAGTACTTTTTCTTAACATCTTGGGGTAGGTATCGATTTTTCCGTACTTCTGCACACAATGATCTTCCTTGTGTTATCTGCTACGCTACTGGCGAGCTTGTTTGTTCACCTGCCACATCCCGTAGTAGCCTCTCCTGGAGCTGGCGTAGACGAAGAACTGCTTCCCGGGGCCCGTCGGCCAGAACTTCCTGGGGAACTTGAGGAAGATCTTGGTGTACACGCCCATGTCAAATCGGTAGATGGCGAAAATCTTCCATGCCTAGGTTGTTTATATAACGCACACACGAAAACTAATTATACTGTTGCAGAGTGACGTTGGACGTGAACTTAAGAAAATATTAACCGACGACGTACTGGCAGCTGAGGCTTGAACTGTATGAGATCGCTTTGCAGGACCCCTATGCTCGCGGACACGATCACGTAGTCTGCGCTGTACGCTGAGTTGTCCTCCGTAGTCACCACCACGCCTCTCTGGTTGTAGGAGATCTCACGCACCACCTGCAATTTTGTGCATGCATGAGTGCCCCTCCAAAATCACATAAAATGTCCAAATTTGTCCGAAATGATGGATTGTGTCGTTTTTCCTTTTCTTTTCTTTTGAGGATGTGTCGTGTTCTTTCAGTTGTACACTACTACTCATCAGGGCCTGCTACTCATTTCTGTCCCATAATATAAGAGCGTTTTTTACACTACCATGTAACACATGGAAATTGGTTTCGGCGCAATTCATCAGATTTCACAATTTTTGTCTAAATTTTGGACCGAATGAAAGTGACGGGAAAATATCACATGGAAACCAACATTCAAAGAAAACTTTGTAGAAAAGTTTCAAAAAAAAATCTTTTTTTAAAAAGGAATGTTAAAAGGCTGATGTTTTATTGCCTACGAAATTCCAAGTTGAAATACCTTACGAGATGTGAGCTAAGAAAAAAACAAATTCAGCAATGAATAGTGACGTTATTGTTGCACTATTCAATGTTGATTTTGTAATTTTTGTATAGCTCACATCCCGTGATGTGTTTGAACTTGGAATTTCACATGGCAATAGAACATTACCCTTAACATCCCATGTTTTTTTAGATTTTTTTAGAAACATAAAAACATCTTCTCTGCGTGATTTTCACCGACTTTCACCAATTGTTGGTTTCCATGTGATATTCTCCCTAAAAGTGACATGGGAGAATTCAGATAAAAGAAGCATGGTCAATAAACACTTTGTGTCCTCTGTAATTCAAATAAAAGTTTTCTTTTGCAATCAAATTTTATAATTCTGTATAAATTTTACTATTCGACGGCATATGGCTTAGTCGACCTAGAAATGATTATTTCTTAGTCAGCTGCTTGTTTCCATTAAATCAAAAAATTTCCTATTCCTTGTGAACTTGCCTGAATCATGGATCTGACAGTTCTCATGACTTGGAAATAATATTTTTAACATCATAATTGAGAACTAGTTTTTTTAAACGGTGGCAAAAGATTTGCCCCATATAATTTAGAAATAATTATTTCAACAGACAAGCATAATCATTAGATGTAGATCAAATAAATGATTGCTTCTAATTACCGTAGTGCCTAAACTTTGGTCCGTAGCTAGAACTTTCCTTGCATGTTTATAAGAAAAGATTATAAATACTAATGATATCGAATTTCCTTTCTTTTGCGAAAAGATATCAATTTTCCTTACGACAACTATTAATAGGTTGGGTGGTTAGTGAGAGAGCTGTACCCTATAAACCTAAATAGTTTATCCCCACTAACATCAATTTTCTCAACACGCAACTATGCCAACTCACCATGCAAACATACATGAGTGCCACTCATATTCTATAAATATTTTTACAACTATGTAATAATCAATAAAATATATGTATTTTAGTTTCAATTCTCATATAGTTAATCTAAATACTAATGTTTCATACAACCAAATCTTATTAAAATAATTGCAACTGATTCCCACGGCAATGCAGAGAGTGTCATCTTTAGTTTTCAAGGTGATTATGCTTTCAACAATAAGCGATGTACTTATCAATACCGAGAGATCTGTGGTGACTCCGGTCATCTTTGATGCTCTTCGATTCCAGCGTTGTGTGAATGTTTGTCTGTTGGTTTCTCAAAAAGAAAGTCCTTTTACCCAAAACAGTGTCTGAATTTAGTTTCAGCTTTGCAGGGAGATTTCCTTTCGTTTTGACACATCCTCTCCTAAAGTTTGAAAAGTTTGATTATTACACGGTTTGTATTAATTTGTTACTCCCTCTGTGACCTATAGCGTCTTCTTACATTTGTTTACGGAGGAAGTAGTAGTTAAAGTTTGAAAATTTTGATTATTACACGTTTTTTTGTATAAAACCATGATTACCTTGTTGAGTTTGACTCTAGGATCTACGATGTTTCCGGACTTGTCGGAACGAAGGTACTGCCCGGCGATGTGATATATGAGGGTCTCGAATCCCCGCTGATCGGCGACGAAGTGCGCGTCGTCCCCGAAGTCGGCGAAGGTGGCCGTGGGCTCGGTGCCCTGCAGGCTGGTGACGCGCGGCGGCTCGGCGAACTCGTAGTCGTACCTGAAGTAGTCGAGCACCATGTCCACCGGCGTCGCCGGCCCGTTCGGCTGGCTGCAACGCACACAGAGACAGAGGGATCAAGCAAACCATGCATGACGATTGCCATGAAGCATGCATATGCACTAGCTAGCTACGTACTGGTTGAAGAGGCGCTGCATGGCCAAGATGGACATGTCGTCGCGGCCGCTGGGATCCATCTTGGCGGCGAGCTTGCCGCCCAGCTCCTCCACCTCGTCGCCACGGTCCATTCTCTTCTGCACGAACTCCTCGTCGTAAAGGCCGCCGCTGCAGGTTTGTCAACGCAAAGCATAAAATCATAAAACCATGTTAGACGGTCCGCCGATGAACTGCATGCATGTGTGCTGCTGCTGCAGCTGAAGAATTAGCAGTCCGTTGATCTGTACGCCGTCCTCCATTCCATGATTGTTCTGAATCGTGAGTTAATGGGTTGGTCCGTCTTGTTTGTTACTGTTTCGTCCATCATTCTGCGTGCGTGTCGTTTCCACACGGTTTGCACGCCTCACGTCGTCACTGTCCCGCAGTTATTAGGTGGTGCCCATCACTGAAAGCTTATGTTTTGGCGTTTTTCCCACGTGCGTTTTATTTTATCAGAGCGAGCTCCTGCATGGTCATGCTCACTCCTCCGCGCGTGGGCTCGGGTACGCGTACATGTTTCCGTTCTCACGTGCATGTGTCTATGTGCCTGTGTCTGTATACTTTATGACTCTTTTTATGCATGTCGTTGGTTACCAGACGTCTTTATTATGTTTCTTCATTCATCTTGTGTATGCACGTACGTACGTAGCGTACCTCTCCTTGTAGACGTTGCCGACGACGCCGTCGAAGTCGGAGTAGAAGTTGCGGAGCTTGAGGCTGGCGTTGACCATGGGCCAGATGGGGTTGACCTTGTCCCCGTTGAGGCCCTCCACCCAGTTGGCGCCGATCTCCACGTTGAGGCCGCCGAAGTTGTGCTTGTGCATCCGCCCGCCCACGCGCTCCATCGCCTCCAGGATCAGCAGGTCCCTCACCCCGGCGTCCCACAGCCGCTTCCCCGCCGAGATCCCTGCACACGCACGCACGCACACAAAATAGTATTTGTTGAGATATAAAACGACGACGACGTACGTTCAATGCACGTACTGTATTAGCTAAGGATATTGCATGCATGCATGGGTGATATATATATATATATATATACCGGACATGCCGGCGCCGACTATGATGACCCTGGGGCCTCTGCCGGCGGCGGCGAGGGAGGCATGCTGTGCGGCTAGCAGCACTAGTGCCGATATGGCAGTGACGAACGAGAGCTTCATCTCGATCTGTCTCTCTTCTCCCCTCGTTTAGTTTCGTCCAACGGTGGACACTACTGTATTAGCACTGCTAAAGCTAGCGAGGCTGCTGCCCTGCTCTCCGGCCCAGCCGGGCAGTGCACTTATATATACCCACACGAGATGCGCCTACCATTGTGCCGAAAGAAATATCAGAATTAAAGAAAAATCGGAATTTAAGATGCGGGAACCACACACGTTCCCGAGAGTTAATAATTTGTACCATGGCCACCAAATCCAGTGGTCATGACGCCTGGACGGAGACAGGGCTGGTGTGGTGTCGACCTTATCTTATTTGTTTTCCTCGGCGATGAGCCCTTTTTTCTTGTGAAAATGAGTGATTTGGCTAGATTAGACAGCTGTGTAAATCTCCAACGCACAATTGTTTTTATTTATTCCACAAAGGGCGTGGCTAGGTCGTAGTCGACTGAGACTTAACCAAGTGTCAGTCAAGTGACATATAGTATATAAGAAAAAAGAAAAAACTAAAAAAAAAGATCAAACGAATATAGCGTCGATCGAGACATAACCAAGTCTCGGTCGACTGAGACTTATCAAAACTGTTCCACAAAATTAAGGGAACATGCTAGTCATGTGGCTTTGTTTGAACAATAGAAAAAGTTGATGAATTGTAATTAAGGGATTGTTAGTTCAGACTAAAGTTTGCCTAAAGTTGGCACACCTAGCTTAGACAAGTTTGACCAATTTAAGTGGGTCTCTGGTTTAAGACATACCTCATGCATGGCAATATGCATTTTGCTACACTAACGACCCACATCACTTTAGTGTGGCGAGATTTGTCTTCAATTTTATTGAACTAATCCTATGCAAGTGTGGTGAGATATATGCGGTAAAGTGTGGTGTTGTTAATCCTTGAACTAAACAGCCGCTGAATCAAATATGGTGAGAATAATATGGAAGCACATTGTAAAAATTAAAAATGAGTGATGCATTTAGGATGTATATTAGTAACGTCGATCTATCTACATCATTCATTTGTTGAAGGTGTATTGGCTTGATATATACTCCATAAAACGGAGTATATATCAAGCCAATACACCTTCAACAAATGAATTTTTTTCGAACCGGGCTTTTCCCCTTTCCATTACTTTCATAACGGAAATACATTGTCTCAGGAAACTGAAACTAGAAGGGCTAGGGAAAGAAGAAAAGCGAGCTCGGGGCAATAACAGCCCCCTGATCCTGAATACTGATGATTTTTTACCTAATCCAGGCCATCAGAGAGATTTCAGATTCGATCTTAACTGGCTCAAAAACCCGGAGTTTATAACCTTAGTTGCTAAGGTGTGGTTGAAACCGGTTAATTCTAAAAATCCCATTGATGTACTAAACATTAAGTTGAAGAGATTCAAAAAATTCTTTAAAGGATGGGGTGCAAATCTTTTTGGCAAATCGAGAAAGAGGAGAAGGGACCTCAGGGAGGAGTTAGAGCATCTAGAAAACCTGGAAGAAACAGATGTGTTGTCTCCTGAGCTATATGAGAGGAAAGTTGAGATATCGGCAGAATTATATAATCTGTTGGTGGAGGAGGAGGTGGCTTGGATGCAAAAATCACACGAGAATTGGCTCTTGAAAGGGAATAGGAACACTGAATACTTCCATAGAATTGTGAATGGGAGGAGGCGGAGAAATACTATTTTTTCTCTTAGTTGTGGGGATGTGATTATTGAAGGAAATAATAATCTCTTGGAACATGCCACTAATTTCTATAAGGACCTTTTTGGGCCAGCAGTGGGAAACTTATGTAAAATGAAGGATGATATGTGGGAATCACGAGAAAAATTGTCACAACTTTATCCTTACTAGACCCTTTTCTGAAACAGAAGTCAAGAATGCGCTATTCTCTATGAAACCAAATAAAGCTCCTGGGCCAGATAATATTCCTATTGAGTTTTTCCAACATTGTTGGGAGATAGTGAAAAATGAAGTGATGATGCTATTTGACTGGTTCCATGATAACAAACTGGATGTGCAGCGTCTCAATTATGGGATCATAACCCTACTACCTAAGGTTGTGGGGGCAAACAAGATTCAGCAATTCAGGCCTATATGCTTGCTTAGATGTATATACAAGCTGATCACCAAAGTACTTACTATTAGGCTGGAGCCTTTTGTGGATATTCTTTTCAGTAGACATCAAAATGCTTTCATTAAGAAGCGTGACATCATGGATGGGATCATGTCCCTGCATGAAATCTTGCACCACACTTACAATAGGAAGAAAACTGGTATTGTGTTGAAACTGGACTTCGAAAAGGCTTACGATAAAGTCAACTGGGACTTCCTTTTGGATTGTCACAGAATGAGAGAATTCCATCCGAAATGGGTCGAGTGGGTCAGTAAAATTTTAGTGGGGGGCACAGTTAGTGTGAAGTTGAATGATGAGGTGGGCCCATATTTTCAAAGCTCGAAAGGGGTGCGCCAAGGGGACCCTTTCTCACCATTTCTTTTCAATTTAGCTGCTGATTGTTTGACAAAAATGATTCTTAAAGCCCAACAAAACGGCTTGTTCAAGGGTCTGGCCTCGGACTTGATTCCAAATGGAGTAGCTATTCTCCAGTACGCGGATGACACAATTTTGTGCTTCGAGGATAATATCAGGAATGCTCTGAACATTAAGTTGCTTTTATACCTCTTTGAGGTCATGTCAGGTCTAAAAATTAACTTCCTGAAGAGCGAGATCTTCTCTGTCCGTGCGGACGATGAGACTATGCATAAATATGCTGAGATGTTTAACTGCCAGATAGGTAACTTTCCTATGAAATACCTAGGCATGCCGGTCAGTTATGCTGGTTTGAAATGTGGGGGTTGGAGTTTTGTGGAGGACAAATTCACCATGCATGGTGAAAATTGGATTAGTGAAGTACTGTCTACGGGAGGGAGGCTTATTAAAGTTAATGCGGTACTATCCCATATACCAACGTTTTACATGTCCATGTTCCTTTTGAACAAGACTACTCTAGAAAGGTGGGACAAGCCGAGAAGGAAATTCTTCTGGCATAGGAGAGGGAAGTGAAGGAAATATGCCCTAGAGGCAATAATAAAGTTATTATTTATTTCCTTATATCATGATAAATGTTTATCATTCATGCTAGAATTGTATTAACCGGAAACATAATACATGTGTGAATATATAGACAAACAGAGTGTCACTAGTATGCCTCTACTTGACTAGCTTGTTAATCAAAGATGGTTATGTTTCCTAACCATGGACAAAGAGTTGTTATTTGATTAACGGGATCACATCATTAGTTGAATGATCTGATTGACATGACCCATTCCGTTAGCTTAGCACCCGATCGTTTAGTATGTTGCTATTGCTTTCTTCATGACTTTGCTATTGCTTTCTTCATGACTTATACATGTTCCTATGACTATGAGATTATGCAACTCCCATGACTTATACATGTTCCTATGACTATGAGATTATGCAACTCCCGTTTACCGGAGGAACACTTTGTGTGCTACCAAACGTCGCAACGTAACTGGGTGATTATAAAGGTGCTCTACAGGTGTCTCCAAAGGTACTTGTTGGGTTGGCGTATTTCGAGATTAGGATTTGTCACTCCGAATGTCAGAGAGGTATCTCTGGGCCCTCTCGGTAATGCACATCACATAAGCCTTGCAAGCAATGCAACTAATGAGTTAGTTGTGAGATGATGTATTACGGAACGAGTAAAGAGACTTGCCGGTAACGAGATTGAACTAGGTATTGGATACCGACGATCGAATCTCGGGCAAGTAACATACCGATGACAAAGGGAACAACGTATGATGTTATGCGGTCTGACCGATAAAGATCTTCATAGAATATGTAGGAACCAATATGGGCATCCAGGTCCCGCTATTGGTTATTGACCGGAGACGTGTCTCGGTCATGTCTACATTGTTCTCGAACCGTAGGGTCCGAACGCTTAAGGTTTCGATGACAGTTTTATTATGAGTTTATGAGTTTTGATGTACCGAAGGAGTTCGGAGTCCCGGATGAGATTGGGGACATGACGAGGAGTCTCGAAATGGTCGAGACGTAAAGATCGATATATTGGATGACTATATTCGGAGTTCGGAAAGGTTCCGAGTGATTCGGGTATTTATCGGAGTACCGGAGAGTTACGGGAATTCGCCGGGGAGAAGTATTGGGCCTTATTGGGCCATACGGGAAAGAGAGAGGGGCTGCCTAGGGCAGGACGCCCCCCCATGGCCTAGTCCCAATTGGACTAGGGGGAGGGGCCGCACCCCCTCCTTCCTTCCCTTCTCTCTTCCCCTTCCTTGTCTCCTACTCCTACTACTTGGAAGGTCTCCTAGTTGGACTAGGAAAGGGGGAATCCTACTCCCGGTGGGAGTAGGACTCCCCTGGGGCGCGCCATAGAGAGGGCCGGCCCTCTCCTCCTCCACTCCTTTATATACGGGGGCAGGGGGCACTCCATAGACACACAAGTTGATCTTCGTGATCGTTCCTTAGCCGTGTGCGGTGCCCCCCTCCACGATATTACACCTCGGTCATATTGTAGAGGTGCTTAGGCGAAGCCCTGCGACAGTTGAACATCAAGATCGTCACCACGCCGCCGTGCTGACGGAACTCCTCCCCGAAGCTCTGCTGGATCGGAGCCCGGGGTGCGTCATCGAGCTGTACGTGTGTCAAGAACTCGGAGGTGCCGGAGTAACGGTGCTTGGATCAGTTGGACCGGGAAGACGTACGACTACTTCCTCTATGTTGCGTCAACGCTTCCGCTTCGGTCTACGAGGGTATGTAGACGACACTCTCCCCTCTCGTTGCTATGCATCACCATGATCTTGCGTGTGCGTAGGAAATTTTTTGAAATTACTACGTTCCCCAACAGTGGCATCCGAGCCTAGGTTTTATGGTTTGATGTTATATGCACGAGTAGAACACAAGTGAGTTGTGGGCGATATAAGTCATACTGCTTACCAGCATGTCATACTTTGGTTCGGCGGTATTGTTG